ACCTGTCTGTGCAGTTCTAAAACCTGTACTTCTAAAGGCTGTGCACCAGGTTGCCGAATACTTGAACAGGACTCCAGATTCACGGATCTGTTCCAGGAGACTCTGGTGGGATTGTTGGCAAAACTAGTTTTAAGTTGTCCGTAGTTACGGTTAACCTTATGAGGGCCACAGATTCTACTCCAGGGACAGGGGCGTCAACCTTCTGTCAAAAACATTGTAGACACCAAATATTTACTTACACGTTTTGTGACAGGTTGCTCGCTGTAAGCAGCTCATCTGTGATCCCAGCTACGTCCAAGACCGAGTAGAAAAAGTGGGCCAGGTGCTCAGAGTAATCTGCATCCTCAGCCACCCCATCAAGAACACCAACGATGCCAACTCCTGCCAGATCATCATTCCCCAGAACCAAGTCAATCGGAAGTCGGGTGAGCTCTGAGGATCCGGCAGATGTTTGTAGGATTTTGTTAAATATAATTCGCTTCATGTTTTGTCCCAAATTCCCAATTTTATTTGCTCTGTTATAGTGAAGAAACTTTAAGTTACATATGAGAAACAAGGTGTGAGGGATCCTCACACTGGAAGGTGCACACGAGTCCCAGAGCCCTTAGACCTGTGCGCTTGGCTGGACTAGAGGAATGTGGTGTCCGTGATTATGTGCCTCTGGAGGTTTCTGTCATTAGCTGACATTATTTGTCAGCCTAATACTCTGAGGAAGATCAGGACTCACTTCTGAAATTGTTAATTCCTAAGCTGTTGTGCTAAGCAGCTGTTTCCGTCCCCTACCTTTTTCCATCTTCCTTCCAGGTAGAAGCCCTAAGGCTTATATTTATCGAATCTTCAACTTAAAAGGAGTTAGGAGCTTTTGAACACACTATTAAGACCTGTGTTTGTTTTTCCACGGGAGCAACCAGAATCACAGGTCATGACTGGAACAGAGGGATGTTCACAGGCCCCAAGCAGATCGCAGGGTCTGTGAAAGTCTCAAAAGAGCAAAGGGAGCTCAGTCATGATTTTGTACATTGGAAAATGAGTAGCTACTGAGTGGGACACAGGAAGAATTATAGGAGTTTATTTTTTAATGTTTATTTTTGAGAGACACAGACACAGAATCCAAAGCAGCCTCCAGGCTCCGAGCGGTCAGCACAGAGCCTGACACGGGGCTGGAACTCAAGAGTTACGCGATCATGACCTGAGCCCGTCGGACACTTAACTGACGGAGCCACCACGCGCCCCTAATTACAGAGTTTGTTATGCCATCCGAAGAATAGCTTATGCTGATTTGCGGTTTTGTTATCCTAATAAATAAATGAAAAACCGGTACTTAATAAACCTTTCTAAATGCAAGGCGTGGAAAGGAAGATGACCCCAGAGCAGTCAGTTTGCTTTGTGAGGCTCTGTAGGTAGCCGTAGCAGAGCCGGGAAAAGAAACCTCCTGAGCCTGGCGGTTGACGGCTCCGCGTGTCCTTACTGTCCAGTGGGCTAGAAGTCGCTGGATACTTGCAGACTTTTGTGTATGACCCGGTTTGCCTAGAAGATCTGGTCAGTCCCAAGCAATTTTAACGCACACCTCGAGGAGATACACGGGGGACGCCGGAGCACGCGCATATTCCCGAGGTTTATAAGCCCCGGCAGTGAGTGCCTTCCCTTGTTTCCAGATATCTACGTCTGCATGATCTCCTCCGCACACAACGTGGCCGCACAAGGCAAGTACATCGCCATAGTCAGTACGACTGTGGAGACCAAGGAACCGGAGAAAGAAATCAGACCGGCTCTGGAGCTTTTGGAACCAATTGAACAGAAGTAAGCGATGTGTTCATTTAGCTGAAATCCGAGATCGATACTTGCACGGAGCGTGGCGAGCCGGGTGAGAGCCGCCAGTGGCTGTGGCGTGGGCCTTGTGCCTGCGGGTCTCGTCCTTTGGGTTTTGAATTTCAGGCAGAGCTGGGAGTGTGGGCTTGGGGTCCGCTCACCTGCTGACTCCGTTCTCTCTTTCCCTCCAGATTTGTTAGCATCAGTGACCTTCTTGTACCAAAAGATTTGGGAACAGAAAGCCAGGTGAGTGTGGCGCTCTGAAGAGAGTATCAACACGCAGGCTTTATTAGGAGACACTCCTGTAGCGTCTCAGGTCTTTGTGATTTTCGTTTGTAGATCTTTATTTCCCGCGCATACGATGCTACAACTCACTTTGAGACAACTTGTGACGACATTAAAGACATCTATAAGAGGATGACCGGATCCGAGTTTGACTTCGAGGAAATGAAGCGCAAGAAGAATGACATCTACGGGGAAGACTAACGGCAGTGCAATTATCATCTCATTAGGACAGACTTACCTTTGGCAAATGACGCGTATCGTATGAAATCAATATTGTAAGGCCTGCTTTTGTAATCAAAACGGAGATTGCAGAGCACTGTACCAGTAAATATCCCTCCCCTTTCTAATATCATGTATTAACTCGTTTTCCTGGAGTGGCTATTCAGAATTGGCGGGTGACCACATTCTGTTCGGTTTAACCAGTACTGGCTTTTTTTTTCCCCTAGTGCAGCATCAGTTTTAAAAATCCCTCGTGATACTGATACAGAGCACTTGATACAGGATTTGTATCTTTTAATCAGCGCAGCCTTCTCAGGCGCGCTGCTGCCGCCCGAGAGCTGGATCGGTGGGTGGTGTGCCGTCTATCCTCTTGACATGGAGGATATTCGAGATGGAATGTTCCATAATTCGGGACGGCATCCCTGCGTTCTCCCTACACCTTCACATCTCCTATCAAGTATTACGACAGCGCCCATGGAACACGGCCCCAAGTTGGGGTTCTGTGGGCCTGAAATTCTAACACAACTCCGGACCGTGAGAGTCATCTTGGAGGAGGCCTGTGTGCGGTGTTTTAACAAGATTGAGAAGAGCAGAGGGGAAAGAAAGACCCCTATCGTGAAGCAGGTAAACGTAGAAGCTTCTTTTGTATCCCAGGTGTGGCTTCTTCGACGGACCAAAAGCTGCGACGCAGTATTGATTTGACAGAGCCTCCGCTTCAGTGGTGTCTTGTCTCAGAATGGCTCCAGGTGATTTCTGTACTGCAAATAAAGCCAAACTCTGGAAACCAGTTCTTTCTCGATTGGTCTGTCTGTGTCCCGACATTAAGAGCTAGTGAGGCTCGCCCCGGGTGCGCCCCAGCTGCTCACTCCCCTCGGTGTGGTTGCAGCAGATGGGGCCACGTGCAGATTTCGATGGCTAAACATATACCCGTCCTCTGGCTTCACTGTGAGTAGACCCCAAGTTGTGTTCTCGCCACATCCTCCTGAGGCACAGAATTGCCCCAGTCGAGAACCCCACCGCTTGGCCTACATGGTAAGATCATCTAAAGTCCCAGCGAGCCTTTCCTTGCCCGCCGGGCTAGAAGCACAGAGAACTGTATTTCCACATTTCTCACTCGACAGCCACGGAGCGCCTGTAATACTTAGGTGCCAGGCCAGTGGGTATGAGGATGAAAGAGGCGGTCTGGAAGGTCAGCAGGGCCGAGACTGACCCTGGGACTCGGTTAAGGGGAAAAGCAGTTTTAGAAAAGGGTTGTGGGAAGACTTTCCGGCAAGAGGGGGAGGGCTGGACGTTTGAAGGAGGAGATGAGAGGACAGCAGGCTCAGCTCACAGCAGGGGCTCAAGTGGACCAAGGAGGGTTACAGCCCCCTTCCTGGATTCTTCCCTGAGTGGGGGTGTTTCTAGGCGAGAAACTGCGTCAGACGCCCACCTTCCGACTCGGCGGGAGGGGCAGGAGGCAGAGGTCCCGTCCTGGAGTTCTGTGAGCCTTCTCTCGGGTCAGGGCTGTGGGGGCTGCACCGGCAGATGGAGGTCCTGTGGTAGGAGTGGAAGCGAAGTCCTACCTGTTAAATGGGCTACAAACTGCCAGAAGGTTCTCCACGGAAGGAATCGCAGAAACAGCTGAATGATTTTCAGTTGTCTTTATTAAAAAATGAAACAAATTGGTTAGAAAAACCTCTGTTCCAAATAGATACTATGTATCTCTACAAACTTTTTTGCTTGGTTTTGAGTTTAAAGATTACCCTAGAAATTATTACTAATACCATAAATAAATGATTTTCTTCCTCCGAGGGTTGACTTTGTAATGCGCTGTTTACAAAATCTAAGTGAAAAATGACAGTTCATAAATTTGTACCATTTAACTTCCTGTAGTGTTGCTAGAGTAACAGCAAATAAAACCAAGATTACAGCTTTTACAAGGGTGGCAAAACCTTTCAAACAGGCTGTAACATGCACTACATACGCCTTTTCGACACTGACATGCAAAAACAAAGCTATTGGTTAAAATAGACTTCTTTTTGCTACACCTAAGTAAACGTGTTTATAAAACTCTTTTTAACGTTGAGCTTAATAGCTTTGAAGGCGCTCCGTAAAAATGAAATAATTTAAAACGATATTTAATAGTATAACCCGAAGCTGGTAGACAGCTGCTGTCCCACTGTGAGTGAAGTCCCAAGATTTTAGAGCAGAGTGTGAAGAAATGAAGAACACTCCTATGTCGTAGAACATTGTTCAGATATGAGAAGGCTGTTCCGTGTATCTAAAAAGTTTCCAAAGTAAACGGAAAATACTAATTTGTTGGTGGCACCACTGGTGTTCTAGGCAAGCTGCAGCGGAGTCCCCTGCAGAAACACAAAATTGGTCATTCCGTCTTTATAAACAGAATAAGAAATGTTTTGTAAATAGGATGCTAAGAGGGACGTTATCTTCCGTCCTGGGAACGAGATGAACCGCAAGTGAAAATGTGTTCAGTCATTCAGATGAAACGGGGGACCCTGAAGTAGATGATCCTTCAAAAATTCTGACTTTAATGCCAAACCAACAGCAATCCCACCCCTAACACAGATTTAAAATTTACAGCACGATGTATACTAAAGAGCGGAGTTTTCAAACAACCGGTTTCCTCACAGACAGAATGTCCGTATCAGTCCTGTCCTGCTCACGAGGGAGAGTTCTGGAAAGTGTTCTTACCAATAGCTACTCTTAAACGGAGCTGCTATTTTTTGTATATTTTCAATAAAGTTATTTACATCTGTAACAAGGATGCCACTGTTTTCAAAGACTTCTCTGGAGATGGTAGGCTTTTCTGTAAAAAGAAAAAAAATACCTTTTTGGTGAAAAAGTCATTGATGTATACTTTTCAGGCATCAGAACCCCTTTTATTTAAAAAGCAAAACTTTTATGGAACGACTTGGTCCATGGGGAATGGGTCCAGGGAGGAAGGGGTATGAAGCTTTGGGAGCAGCCGGGGTGGGGGTGCCGAGCACCGCTGATACAGAAGGACTGTGGCCCTACCTAACGTTTCTAACGGCTCGGCGAACGTTCACCTAAAACTTGAGGTGCCCGCAGGCCACAGCTAGTAGACAAGCGGACCGGAGGGCCGCCAGACAGAGCCCACGGCGCCCCTCGGCCCGGCCTCCCGTGCGTTTAGGAGCACATACCAGGCAGGAAGGGGGGGTCCCGGCTGCCCCGTACAGTCCGTGTGCGCACAGATCCCGTACGGCATCCGATGACCACACCCGGACCCTTCCGGAGCTGGCAGAACGGACACGGGGAGTTTACCTGTCAGGAAGACCGCGAACCTGGCGTGGACGTGCTGAACTTGCAGGTTGAGCAGACATTTCAAATGTTCTGCTTTTGTTGGCGATCGAGAGTCACAATGGTGGTAATGAAGCAGTTCGATGAGATTCGCACTCTGATAGGATCTCAGTATTAAGTTCTTCTTACGTGCTATCGAATCCATTCTGCAACGTACACAGAAACGTTAACCAAATGTGGATTCCCTGGCAGCTTGCAGGAGGCTACTTTTTACCTTATCTGGATTTTCAGCTGTTTCGTTCCTTCACTACCTGCCTTCGCTATACTTTGACCTCTTATGTCAAAACACTCAAACCTCCGGGGATGCTCTTTGCCTTTTCTGTTCTTTTCCACCGGGCCCCTGGCTTCCTGGACGTCACCGTCCCGTCAGGTTCCCTCACGACCTGATAGGCTGGCTCTTTCCTCCCGTTAGCGTTCCGGGTGTCCGGGAAGCACGGGCCTCGCTCTGAGCAGGAGGGACGTCCACGCGCTCAGTTACTGCCACTTCCCAACGACGCTGCTTGGCGGGCCCTTTAGTCATTCCTAGCGGGCCCGGCGGCGCTTTGTCACAGCAGCGCTTCCAAAGCCGCTCTTCAGGCCCCGCACTGCTTGCCAAACACCGACGTCCTTACACTTAGGTAGCGGCGGGAATTTTCTTAATTTCTCACCTCTCTTAAAATCTTGTAACTACCTATCTTTTCTTCCTCTTTTAGTGGAAGGTGTCTGACTGTGAAACGTCCCTGTGTCTGCTCTCCCGCCCTGTAGCAGGGATGAACCCGATGCCCCGCTGGGCACCACACGGCGCACTTCTGTGACACCAGCTTTTGTGTGTACGCTCCTGTAGAAGTCGGTCACGTTCGCCTAGAGATGGATGGGAGGCTGCTTTTGTAGTTTCTGATAATCACGTGGCTATAAACGTTCTTTGGGGAAACTGCAGTTTTTAACGCCTAGGTTTTTTGGGTTTTAGATTAAGATGAGTTCCTCTGAAGGCCACAGGACGTGGGGAGTTTTCTGACGAGTTCCCACTGCGCCTGCTCCATGTGAGGCGGGTGCCCTCTGAAGAGGACAGCGCCAGCAGCAAGGGGTCCGTTTAACCCAAAGTCCCATGAACGGGAAATAAGCTTATTCGTGCCAGCTGACCAGGGGTGAGGTGGTAACCTCGGAACTCCTTTTCGCACTTGAATCTTTCCTCTGAAGTGCCCGCTCACCACCTCCTCGGGATCTCCTGGCCACGGCCTCTGCACTCACCAGGTCCTTGGAGCCCTGCACCCTTTCCATGATATCGTGGGCTCGGGTCCGCTTGCACCCCCTGGCTCATTTGCCCTCCTGCACTTGTTCCTAGGTACGAGCCTCTCCCGGAACCCTGCTCGGGGCCGCCTGCGTCCCTTTCAAGATCTCCGGCGTGTGTGGTTTTGCACCTACGTTTGTCCTCCTCGGGAGGGCGTGGTGCGGGGAGACATGGTCATCTTACAGATGGACATTCCGGGCTCGAAGCCCAGCTTCACAACTTCTTGTCTGAGCTGGATCAGCTCTGTCTAAGCCCTGTGCTTCCACTATGCCACTGAAGCAGGTCCTCGCCGTCAGCAGCCTCGGAAGCTGGTCCGGGACGCCGCCAAAAATGCCCGTCAGCGCCCCCGCAGGTCCTCGACCGGGGCTTGTGGGGCCTCCTCCCAGCTCCCCGCGCCAGACCCTGTTGGCTCCTGCCTCCCTGAGCGCGGAGGCTCCGCAGGCCCCAGGGCTCAGCAGCTGTACATCTGAAACAAGACCTGTTTCTGGTCTTGTTTGGGGTAAAATTTAACTGAGGATACGTCCTGCTCTCAATTTTTTCCATCCTCGTGACCGTGGAAACAACACACGAATCAACACCGGACAAAGCACCATGGCGGCAAGCCCACGGCTCACTCTCCGTCCCCTCCGTTCACGGTGGCGGAACCTGAACTTCGCTACCCGCACCTTCCGGACTCGCGCACCTGACCCCCTGCCGGCCGAGCGCACACACACAGTGTGGGCCCCAAACTCTGGGCGGTGGCCCCGACCCCGCTGCCTACCCCAAAAGCCCGGCCCCAGAAACCAAATCTCAACCCCCAGCGGAGCTGAAGGTGGCGCCTGGACGTGCAGGTGGCCGCCCCCGCCCCCCACCCCCGCGCGCAGACCTCACCTGACGTCTTCCTTCAGCTGCTTATTCTCCCTGTGGTGAAGCAGCCACTTCCATCTCCCGTTTCCGTTCAGCTTCTCCAGGGTTTTGACCACGTCCTTCAGCTGAACTACACAGTGGAACACAAGAGGCCTTGTCGGCTCCCGGCTCGTGCGGTCGGAGCCCGGCGACGGTTCCCGGTGGGAACCGAGGTCCCGGGCCTCAGCGCACATGCCTCCCCCGCACGGCTAGGACGCGGCGACCTGCGGTCCCCTCGGCCGTGGCGGGAGCGCCTGGACCGCCACGCGGACGCGGCACGGACACACGGAACAAGCGGGAGCGCCCGCTGCGCCAGAGGAAGACAGGTGCCCGGGCGGAAGTCATGCCTGTTGCAGGTAACCCCCTCCCGCCTTCTGGCCCACGAAGGGCACCTACGGCAAGTTCTCTGGGCCGTCAGCTTGGGCAGGTTCAGACGAGACCTCAAAGCCGGCTGCCGCCCTCACCTCCCTCCACGTCCGGCCCGTGCCCAGAGGGAAGGGAATTGTGAGTGTTCGGCACATACTCAAGAAGGCTTTTGGGAGCCATTTGTTGACTTCCAGAACATCAACAACACGGCAGGGGTGATGGCAACGGGAGCGGGGGGTGCGGACGGGGCCAGTGTAGGGACAGTTACGGCAAGAGTCCACGGTGAACGGCTCCGCGGCAGCACTGACAGGAAGGGACCGAGAAGCGGGGCTGGCGGTCCCATCACCAGTCAGCACCAGGAGGCGGAGAGCACGCGGGCTGGGGAGGAGGATGCCAGCGATCCCCAGGGAGGTGCGAGTGCTCAGCACGCGGCATAAACTCAGGCCTCTGAAGGTGGCGACTGAGACTGAGTTGTTACTTTCTTTTGGATGAAATCATACTCGGGTCACTGGGTGAAGAGAAACCGATTTGACTGTCCTTTAATGAAAGAAGAGAGGAAAATACAAGACCAACCTAATGTCAGAGTTTCCAGGATCTTGTCATCTGAGACCACAAAGCCTCCGGCGTGGAAGAGCTCCTGGTAGGTGCACTCGGGGACGTCTTCAGGGCCGTCCACGCCAGCGAACACGACACCGGGGAAGTGCTTCAGCCTCAGCAAACAGGGAATCTAGCAAACACAGACGCATCCCGGGAAAGAGGTCTGTCAGGTCGCTTTCGGCACTTTTATCCCAGGGTTTCGAGGTTCGGGGACAGCTGGAAAGAACTTCGCCTGGACCACCGACCGGGAATCCTGCAAAGCCCTGTCCAACAGTAGGAGCGCCCCTCACAAGCAGTCCTGACTCCGTTCACCATCCACGCCGCACACTCGCTCCGGCCCGTCCCCTTCTAACTCCAAAGGCCGGGGACGGTGACGGAGGGAAGGCGCAGCGGAGGTCTGGACACCCGTCCAGTAGTGAAGCAGGCGACAGGCTCGCACCGTCGCTCCTCTCTCTCCGGCTCCCCGGGCCTCCTGCCCGGCAGGGCTCGATTCCCACCCCCGAGCGCAGTTCTTGGGACAGGCAATTACTCTGATGCAAATAACGGGTAAGTATCATAGCAAAGAGGTAAGAACACTTTCACAAGTCCTTCCGAAGGGAGATTTACTGCTGCCAGGCACTGAGAGACACAGGTTCGTATCTCAGCTGAGAAAGTGTCCCGATACCTCCCTTTCCGTGGTTCTGCCCCCGCTACTATGAAAGTCTCAACTCAGACGCGACGTGCCAGAAACGCCCCGGTAAGTATACGGTCCGAGGGTGCACCCTCGACCCCCGTCGGCTTCCCACTTGGATGCAGTGGGAAAGTTCACTTCTGCCCTGAGAAGCGATGATGGGTCTGGTCATTTGGAAGACAACATAAAATGCCCAGAACACACACTCTGTAAGAAAAGATCACCACACGTACTTGATGCAGATGCGATGCTATGTCTTCGTTTCTGATGACGACCACCAGTGTATCGTTCTCTCTGGGAAAAGCTTGACAGAAATGCTGCGGTTCCATTTCTGTATGGCCTCCTTTCCTCAGAAGGGCCTGAAAGATTTACAAGGAACCGTTACAATAAAAAAGGGTATTTGCACAGAATTACTTCTACAGTTCACTGAACATCAGAAAGCACATCCTATTTACTAACCTGCATCCCAACAAGGCAACAGAAACGGTAGTTTGTCTTCTAAAGGAGCTTCTGCGTCTAAAACATGGCTTGTGGGTGTCACTAACTGGACTCAAAAGTTTCTTGTGTTGTTTCAAATTTTTTTTGGTGATGGCGGGAGAGGGAGGGAGAGAATCTTAAGCAGGTTCTACATTCAGCATGCAGCCCGACGAGGGGCTCGATCCCACAACCTTGGGATCATGACCTGAGCCAGAATCAAGAAAGAGCTGCATGGTCCACCGACTGAGCCATCCAGGCACCCCACAAACCCATTTCAAAGGCAAAGCACTTTATAGTAAACCTTTCGTGGTCCACAGTCTGATCAGCATCAGACTGATATACACGCCTAGGACTCTCACCCACCCTGAGACGATTACCTGGTGGCACGCAGACGCTCACTCTAAAAATGCCACCTCCAGTCAAAACGTTTCCAGAACTTTGGGAAATAATACTCCTGACTTGTAAGCATCACTTGGACTGCCGTTCACAGCTGTGGAGGGAGCCCTGGGTGCGGCAGGTGTTGGTGAGCATGGGGGAGGGGG